TACAGACATGCCATCATCTTACTGCAGAAGTACCACTATTACAGACACGCCATCATCATACTGCAGAAGTACCACTATTAGAGACACGCCATCATCTTACTGCAGAAGTACCACTATTATAGACATGTCATCATCATACTGCAGAAGTACCACGACTACAGACACGCCATCATCATACTGCAGAAGTACCACGACTACAGACACACTATTGCATCTGATTTTGCATGGGTTCTGGGAACAAAACTCAGGTCCTCAAACTTGTGTGGCCAGAACTTCTAGTCACTGAACCATCTCCTCAACAAAAATCATGACTTCTAAAGCCAAGTGTGTCGAGTGGAAGACTGTAATTCCAGTACCTGGGAGGTGGAGGCAAGAATGAGATGGAGTTCCAAGCCAGCCTTGGCTGCATAGTGAGCTTGAGACTAAACTTGGCTACAAGGTTTTGAGATTTTGTCTATAAAAGGGGAGGAGAGCAAAAGAACAAAAGCAAGTACACAAAACCAAGTGAATTCTAGTAAACAAAACCAAGCACATTCTAGTCATTAACTATGGTTTTCTGCAGCTGAGCTCTGTAAAAGCCCAGACTGGTCCTTTATTATTCACACTTCCTCCCACCTTTTCAACATGTCTGCTAGGTGAAAAATCTCTGAATTGCTATGCTAAAGTTATTTCTCCCAGACTGACCAGCTGTGCTGTGCTAAAAACAAAACAACAGGGGCTGGAGGTATGGCTCAGTGGTTAAGAGCACTGGCTGCTCTTCCAGAGGTCCTGATTTCAATTCCCAGCAACACATGGTGGCTCACAACCATCTGTAGGGATATCTGGTGCCTTCTTCTGGTGTGCGGGCAGACATGGAGGCAGAATGTTGTATACATAATAAATAAATAAATCTTTAAAAGAAAAACAACAAACAAACAAAAGAACAACAACAAAACACATGTCTCTGGTACACACTGCCACATTCACATACGTTTCAAGAAGAACCAGGGCAAACAGGACAGTTTCTTCTGTGTCTCCACAATGCCATGGGCGGGTCTCTCCTACCTCTTATTGTCACCTCTAGTTGAATTATAAGCTTCCTGTTCTAGCCTCCAGCTGCCCACAGATCTACCATTAAGTGGCCACTCAATAAATGTTTGAGTTTGCATGTCTATCTCCTCTCTCCCTCTCTCCTTGTCCCCTGTCCCAAGGCCTTGCTATGTAGCCCAGGTTGGCCTTGAACTCCTAACCCCACCGCTTCAGGGTTCTAAATTCTTAGGACAGGTACATTCCTCCACACTCACCTCAGTAAATGTCTTTGAACTGAACTACAATGCTCTCATTCCAAAGATGGAGGGGTGGGGAAGATATTCAAGATACAGAATTTTGAACAATTATTAGAAAGGACAGATAACATATTCAACACAATGCCCATCAAAATCCCAGCAAAATTCTTCAAAGACCTCGAAAGAATGGTACTCAACTTCATATGGAAAAGCAAAAAACCCAGGATAGCCAAAACAATTCTGTACAATAAAAGAACTTCTGGAGGCATCACAATCCCTGACTTCAAATTCTGCTACAGAGCTACAATACTGAAAACAGCCTGGTATTGGCATAAGAACAGACAGGAGGACCAATGGATCCGTGCCTGGTCTACAGAGTGAGTTTCAGGAAAGGCAAGGCTACACAAAGAAACCCTATATAAAACAAAACAAAACAAAACAAGAGAACAAACAAGTAATAGGAACAACAGCAACAACAAAACCCCACATTAAAAAGGAACTTCAGATGGTCTACAGAGTTCCAAGACAGCCAGAGCTCTTACACAGAGAAACCCTGTCTTGAAAAACCAACCAACCAAACAAGCAAACAAAAAAGCAACTTTGGGGTGACGAGTATAGCTCAGAAGTCAAGTGTGTACTTAGCTTGTATGAAGTTTAATCCTTAGCATCAAAGTCAAAAACTCAACCAAACAAATTAAAAAAACCCTCTATTTTCATATAATCCTTAAAATGAGAAATAAATGTTTGTAAAGTACATGAACTATCCCCTAAACATACTTAGTAGTTCAGCTTATGGTCCATTAAAGAGGTAGAAGGACGACAAAAAGGTTACTGCAAAGGTGACTTTCAGACCCTTGCCTGGTACACACAGGTCACGGGTTTGATCCTCAGCAATCCACTTTAAAAGGAAAAAGATGCTAATATGATTGGTAGAAAACAGATGAAACCTGCTCATTAAGAAATACTCACATGTAAAAGAATTTGTAGATATTTTATAGAAAGGAGTGAATAATTTTAAAATGTTTATTTTTAAAATTATGTTTCTCTCTGTGTGTATTTATGTGTGTGTGCATGTGCATGTGTGCACACATGAGTGTGCACAAAAGTGCAGGTACTTGTGGAAGCCAGAAGCATCAGATTTCCCTGGGGCTGAACATACAGGCAGTTGTGAGCTGCCTGGTAAGAGTGCAAGGAACCGAACTCCGGTGCTTGGGAAGAACAGCACAAGCTTCTATCTGCCAAGCCATTTCTCTAACTCCCAGGGATGAATAATTTTTCATGAAAGAGGAATTAATCCTAATAACTGAAAATGCAACTTAGGTTGTGAGACAAGTTGGCAGTTATTTTATTTGGTGTACTTTGAAGACCCCTAGGTTGAGGAGCAGACAATTAAGGGGTATGCCATTCATACAAAGATGCCCCCTGGAGTTTACACAACTGTGAGCAACCTGCAGAATGAATGTTGCAGTCTGACTTTTAAGTATTACAGCCATTGGTCAGTTGTTATTTTTTGAGGCAGGATCTCTTGAAGTTCAGTCTTAGACTCTGAATCCCCATGCAGTGGAGGATCCCCTGGATCTCCAGATCTGCCCATTTCTACCTCCCCAGTGCTAGGATTACAAGTGTCAACACACCCACTTTAAATGTTTTCCATTTCTCTATTTTTTTAAATGCAATGGTACATAATAGCCCACAGGTTATTGTCAATATCAACATTGGACCACACAAGAGGAAACAGATGGAAAAACATTTGGGAAGATTGGCAGCTTAACAATGTGTTAAGATTACATTTCTGAAAGTTAGAAAAAAAATTGTTCCTCTATAAAGACTAGGCCAGAATCCTACCATAACGTTCTCTACATCAAAAGAAGGAGATAAAGACATAGAGATTCATACATGAACAGACACGGTTTGGGAGACCTAACTGCATAAGAAAGAAGTCATAAAGGGAAAGACAGATTTACCTACAGCAAATAAACAAAAAATAATCCCACAATTTTGTTTAAGAAACAAAACTAAAAGATTAACAACAGGAGAAAATATCTACAATATAAACATCAATAATTCAAGATCTTTAAATACGCAGACTTTAAAAAATGAGATAGTAGGG